TACCTACGTGTTTTCTCCAGATGCCGATCACTCATCGTCTCCTCGCTGTGCGCATTCCGTGTCTCTATGACGTTCTTCGTCAGGGGTGTCGTACTTGATTCTTACATAGGATCGCATACAGGGCGAAATAATATTTCAAGTAGAGCGTCTTAAATTATGGGTTACGACGTTTCCCTCCTGATTAAAGGGTGTTAAATGTATAGTTATGTATTGTTATTTTGTTACAGATGTATTATTATAACGTAGAGCGCCTAAACCTTTTACAAGACTGGCCAAAGACCGCTTGACCCGGAGGTTACTAAAAATATCTTCTACACTACGGGGGGCACAGCGGATATGGAGGCGAAAACAGTAACTGGATATAAAATTTGCGAAAAAATATTTCGATATATTATCATGTTTACGAATTAGTACAGTCGATAATGTTCGCGATAGTTAAAAATATTTTCGCCGCTCGAGACACATTTACGAGTATTGTAGGCTATACGCGAACGTAGAAAACGTGAACCTTCAAAATTGCGTTAAACAAGAACTGCAGACTTCCGTGAAAAACGTTTTGAAACTCGCGTCACGGTGTCTTTCCCGTTACGGACGCAAGACTATCGACCGAATTCTTTCGTGATGGAACAATTCAACGCTCGTTGGAATTGTTTTGGCGTAAATCAATACTATCTAACTTTTCTGTACGTCGAAAGACCAATCAATTTATCCGTTTGTGATAAAGACGATATGGCCATTCGCATGCATACTTTATGGACAAACCTTCTCCCGACCTCTAAATAATTACCCATTCTTGTATCACTTAAATTAATAACACGTTTATTACGAAACTACGAGAACCGTGCTATTAGTATATTCGTAAAAATAGTAATATCGGTGAACAGCGCTGTACTCTCGATATTGCAAGAAAATTAGAGGCGGTATAAGGTTCGTGGAAAAATAGTGAATGCGAATAAGGTGCACCGTGCGATCGCATGGAGAGTAATTTTCTTCAAGTTCGCCGATACACCCAATAATTAATTTTAATGCCGTTTCGACGTAACGTAGTGAAAAATTCAAATTGCCCGAAGCTCTAGCTCTATTCTTGGACTTGTGCATAAATGTTAGCTTATTCGTATCGTTGTGTATCGGAGAACGGGCACGTGTAAACGACGGACAGGCAAGAAAAAAACGCAAATCGCGTTTGTGTCTATGCATTTGCGCATGCGCAGGCGCGACTGTGGAACAAGCAAGCCTATCGTACGGCACACGACGCGAAAAGTGAACGGTGTCGCGTAACTTTTTTTCCGCGACCAACACTATCGCCGCGCGAAGAAATGCAACTGCACAAACGATGCTCGAGGATAAAATGAAGCCCTCGATCATTCGTCCGACTAGTACATGAAAAACGACACCGTGAATATAACGCCTGTAAATACAGAACGTCGAAAAGATCTACTACAAAACGCAGCATAAACTTATGGGATGACCTAATATGTTTTCATTGTCTCCGAAGATACGAGGCTTTGCTTTAGTCAAGGACGAAATTTCACGCTTCAAAGAACAACACATAATAACATAAAGCTATTCTTTTGTTTTCAGAGACATTGTACCACTCTTACGGAGAATATGGTCAATTTAACACGCTGAGTGGCAAATTACTGTCTTTTTAAAACTAATGTTTATTTTCTTTGTTGGATTCAGAAATACTTTATTATCTTGCTTGTTGCACACTATGTTTTTACGTAGTTGGCGTTGTCTCTTAAACAACACGAGAGTTCAGGATGTCAGCGTAGGTAGCGAGAGGGGGCGATGCAAATTGTTAAATAAACGCTGACTCTCAGAAGTTGCTTTCTCAGAAGTAAGAGACCTGTGCATGACATACTATGCATTCATCGATTACACAATTTACGATAAACGGTGTGCAGAATGACTCCAAGTCGCTCACGAGAAGGAAGCGTTTCGACGAAGGTCGGAAGTTGACCGCGATAAGTCGCGACGGTTACTGATTCGAGTTGCAGCGACTGTTAGGTACGGCATATTCTTTTACCCGATGAAAGTAAGATCGAGATCAAAGAGCGTAATAAAGGGGGGAGAGGCGTCGCGTCGGGACGCGCGAATCGCAAGAGAATTTCATCCGACGACGACCGACTAAAAATATTTTTCCCTGGGAGCGATTGAGGTTAAAAGTGCAATCGGAGGTTTCATTTAATTAAAGAGCAATCTCTGGCCGACTGCAATCTCGGTGAAACAAGTCGTACGAAGCAACGTTCAACAAGTGGTTACTACCAAACGCGAACGTGCCAAGGTATGTAAGTAGGTACATACACATATATTTCTATCGAACAATACTATATCGCATAAAGAGAACGCCGATGACTAAGGGGTGTTCGCTCGGCAATTTAAATCGACTACACTAGCCACGATTTACATAATCGATGACTAACATTGGAATTGTAACGATAGTTCCGTGTCGATCCTGATCTCGATCGCGAACGCTTTGAAAACGACAGGAGCGAGTCTAGTCTGTTTTGGTCGAGACCGGCGTTGCCGTTCGCAAAGTCGTGTGGTCGTTGGCCTGTCGCCCAGACTCGAAATGTACACGCGGCTGGGACAGAAAGAGACGAAAGAAAACGCTCGAACCGGACTGGACGAAGGGAAGGATGAAACGAGAAACGGAGATACGTTTCGTAGGCTCTCGGGTCGTGGATTGAAATGCGCCGGTCTTTTCGTTTCGCATCGTGCACGCCAATCCATTATTCTCGACGGCGTTCGCTGCGAGCGCTTAAATCATTACCCAACACACAGTTACAGCTACAAAAACGCGCGAGATATGTACTTACTTACGAGTTTCATGCATCTCGCATACGTAGATACATACATAGACGCGCGTGCATAGACGGTAGGCACGTTCCTGTCGACCAACCTTCGCGATTGGTAACTTATACGTACGACCCTGAGAATCAAACGGCCGATAGAAATCAACGACTACAGTAGTATGTATGTACCGTCTTCGTTAGAATGCTGGTCAACGTGAAAGGGTCCTCACGCGATGAATACTATTTGCGAAACGAACACCATCAATATTATGTTTGACAACACGCTGGTTGCACGCGCGTTAACGTCTTTTTATCAATATTAGCAACCCAGCGGGTTGTTTGATCACGAGTAACGTATCATCTCAGGAAGTTTCACTGTAGTTCCAAGTTCTCGAGTGCGGGAAAATTCAAACGATGTACATATGTGAAAGTGGCTCGGAGGGCGAAGGACGCTAAAATATCTGGATACGGCCCTGGTCTTGACAGTATTGTTTAAATTGTTGCTGATAGTTGGACAGAGACAGCCATACGGGTGCGATATCTAAAAAATATTCCACCGAATATTTCCATTCTTGTACAAAAATATTAGCGTATATGTACATCGATAAAATACACGATTATTTGCAATTGATAATAGGGTTAAGTTAAAAACGAAGATCGTTTATTTTAATAAAATATTACGGCGTAGAAAATATAGCACCTCGAGTGTACTTAAGGGTTAATCATTTAATCGTTTTGTCTTTGTTTGCGTTTGTTACCAATCGATCGGATAAATCGCGGAGAAAAGATGCATGTGGCAGATATCATTGTCGTATCAAGCTATGAATCAGTAATTACGCTTAATACGATATAGTTCTGACGCATAATCACGATCGTATCATTTTTTTCATCCTGAATGGAATTTCCCATAACAAACCACACCCCGCGAAAGATTAGTATAAGATAAGCGTGTAATCTCCCATAGTACTTTCTGACGTATACATTATGGTAATCGAAAAGTGATAAATTATTCTATAAAGACTACATATATGTATAGATAGACGAATCACGAGATACCCTATAATCAGTGACTCTCACAACCAGCGTTTGATGAACGAACCCCTTACATACGAGCGTGCAACGAAAATTTCACGTTGGATTCAATTTACGCGCATTATCTTCTACGAAGGCGATCTGTGTTTAATTTTCTTACGCAATTATTACTGCACGGTGATGAAACGATAGCGTATATGCAAAGAAAAGTAAAGAAAAAATAGATCAACGCTCGAGTCGCGTACGAAAGTAGGGGTGTAACAATTTGTTTAAGATGATCTGCCAACAATTTTGCCAATTAAAAATGTTTCGCGGGTTAGAAGAGGTTGAAAAACACTGCCCTATATGAGCGAAGAGGACGCCAAGGGAGGGGCCCTTCTTTGTGAGACGGGCTCTGACCTCAACGGATCGTCGGACCCGAGGTAGGCGCCTTCGACTGTGAAACGACGAAGCTGTTGCTGCTGGTTTGCTTGTCTGTCTGGCCAGTTCCCTGGCCTCGTTGCCAAGCAACCGCAAAAGCGTCACCCCCTGAATCTCTAAAATTCCTCGCACTTGGCCGTTCGAGCGAGTTATCCGTTCGGAGCATTATTTTTTTCCACGTGGTAATCGCGGTGTTAAAAATACGCGCAAAAGGCAAACGGTTTTTCATCGTCGATTCCAGGACAAATATATATTTTTAGAAAGCGTCGGTAATAATTCAGTAACGCGCGAAGTCGGTCGTTACGATAAAGTCAAAGTTCACACGATTTCGTCGCGTTGGCATTTAACGGTTAAGAAAAACCTGTTCGATATATGTACCAGGAAATATCTACATATCGATATATGGCAATCGTTCATTATTTCAAAGTCGATCGATCAACGGCCAATGCAACCATGAACTTTCGCGTCAAGTCATCATATCGAGAGTCATTCACGCGTCGAGCAAAATTACGTAGATACATACATATCTCGTCTCGCATCGCCACGTGCGTAGGATCGCAGTTAATTACAAGCTACGCCGGGTTTTGTGTCGCGTGGAATTTCGTAAGTTCGACCCCCATGACCGCAAGTTGCGATATCTCGTGACAATAAGCGATTGTTTTACGTGGCACGATTAAACGCACGGTCGGTGCCGCTGATCGTCGACTGTTAACGGCGTACGAAATTTGAAATCTGGTTCTATCGACTTACCCATATGAGCGAGGTCGATGATCGGCACTTCGCACTTGCTTAGAAGCGTCTCACATGTCTGAGTTACAATCGGGGCACTCGTGCAGCAGCTCATCTTACTCGTGGCCAGTTACTCGTCGAAATGAGATTTCTATCGCTGTCTTTCTCCTTCGTCCTCCCGTTCTCGTTCCTTCTCGCTGCTCGGTCTTCGGCTACTCTCGCAATTTCGTATCTTGTCCCCGATCTTTCCGTACCGTTCACTCGATCGGTTCCTTTTTCGTGCGTCGACTTTAAAGCTGTTTGCTACCTTTTCGTCCTCTTCGTTCGATCGTGTAGCACCGATGATATATCGAGACAGAAAATACGTGGCTCGACGTTGCGACGCGTCTGCACACTACACTCACCACGTGCGAATTCGCCCACCCGGTACAGGCGATCCCGAACAATTTCACTAAAATATCCAAGAAAAAATCATACTATCACTGTGCGCGCGTATGGAGATTCTTTTTCCGAGTTACGGGCTCTCGACACTCGCTTCGAGAGGGTGAAAAAACCTTCGAGCCTCGATGGCGTTGCCGGTTATCGTTACAAGAAAAGGGCACGGACGAGGAGTGTTACGGCAACCCTAACGGTAGCCGTAAGAGACGAGTTTATTGTGGGGCTGGTGATGCGGCAGGTAAACGTATACGTGACTGTGAACTGGTGGGCACATGCTACGCTATCGACGGAGTGGCAGATGACCGAGTATCGAGAGAGAAAAAACGAAGCGACACCGCAACGATCGTAACTGACACGCGAACGTTCGTTGACTAAGCCGAAGAACTCGCAAACTAACCGGACGCGCGCCTCTTACTCCGAATCGGCCCGATGTCGCCCGAGCGGACACGAACGTGGTCAGATCGAGACGAACACGACCGGACGCTCACGATGTTTGCCGAACGGACGATTTCAGGACTCGGAAATTTCGCGCGGTCGGATGAAAACCAAGGAAATCAATTTCTAGAAGTTTCGGACTTTTATTCGAGTATTCCTAATTTTATTTACACTTTGATACCGTAAGATACACACGCCTCTTTTGTTTCTACGACTAAATAGTATTGTTTCGCATTTGATTTGTACTTTGAATATTATAATTTTTAACTGCGAAAGAAGAACGAGGCAATCTTATTAGTATTCTACGTCAGTTTGGAAAAATACTAAGTTTCTATCAAAAGTGGAACAAAACGATTTTATCAACTGCGAGTTAAAATTTCACAAACCTGGCGTTTTGCTAAAACACGACGTGACACGTGGGACCGTCGCTAGCGCGTATTGGCTCCTCTAATGTGCTTTGCACGATGCTTTGAACCGTACTGCACTCCCGTCGACGATCTTGAATTACTAACGCAAGATTCGTCGATCCCCACCACTCGCGGGCCTCGCACGGTCTCGCGCCTTACCTCTAATCGTTGCAATTGGAATTTGTAATTCCCAATACTACTAAATGGATTTAAACTTCCTTTTATCGAAAAAACCTTTATAATGCTTAAACGCGATAACCACCGTAGTCAGCGTGCACCTGTCTTCGAACGTTTCAGGATTACCGATCGTGCTCGCCAGCTGTTACACGAACGAATGAAATCGGTCGTTGTCTCGATCCCCGTTCTTCTCTTAGGTATCAATAAATTTTAAGCGATATTTTTCTCGTCAAAGCGTCGAGTCTCGTTTCTTGGCTATGGTGTGTTCCTCGTGAGTGGTCGGTCTGATTTTCGCGATTTCAAGTATGGCGGATCGATCGGTGTACTTGGTCGCGGGCGACGAATTCGCCGTGGTGGAAGTGGAATTCGTGTCGTCTTTTGCGCTGCTTTTATTTTTAGAGCGAACGCGCCTCGACGACGACACAAGTTTCATTTTTTTCCTGCGTCGTTTATCTCGCCTCTTTGTTTCCCGCGAGGGTCGCGCCTCCCAGTTCGAGGGGGATGTGCTCAAGTCTCGTCTCTTCGTTTCCGAGCTGAATCGAGTACGATAACGATTGTTCGTTTATCATTCGAATTGTTTTCAAGGGTACGTTAAACGTCGATCGAACTATTAACGAGACTATATCTTATCCGTGGACCAAATGCAACCGATCGAACAACTGCTCGCTTAATGACCCGACGCCGCTTATCGTACCCGGCGCGTACACTGGTCGATTTTAATTGAAATTGCTCGATTAATTTATGGAGCTCGATTCTACTTTCGTAAACGACGAGTAGATGAATTTATTTAGGAATTTATTGATCGATTTACCTTGTACCCTCTAACGATACGCTGGTGGATTCGTCGACGAAGGCCGCAGGAAGATGATATAAACGACACGTTCCGCATAAAAGCTTGCGCATAATCTGTAAAGATAGACGAGATTATATGCGTCATTTTATTGAATCGAATAAAAGAAAAACTAAACAGAAGCGGTATTTCTGCAGTTTAGCGGCTTCTCTCAATTTCGATTATTTGACTAAATTTTCGACTCGGTCAAAATACTGTTTATCACAAACGGTTGTAAAAATTTTGATGGATATTTTGTATTTTTCAATCTATCGTAATCTTGCAAGAGACTTATATCACGATACCAGGATTAGTAGTTTACGACGCAAGTAATTCCCTTAAGCTTATCTTCCTTGAACCGAATCCTAGTCAAAATTTTCCTAAATTAGAAACTGTAGGAGAACAGTGTCATCCGCGTGTATATCCAAAACAGTGTACAAAATTTTACGTTTCTATTTCAAAGAATGGTTCATACAGGGTTGCTAGATTCCTATGCAGAAAACGGCTAAATTATTACATAATTCTGTTTACTCCAAAGATGACTTGAAACGTTGTACTAAAAGTAGCATGTTTAAGACCGATAATCGGTCGTTTATCGTCGTGGTCAAAATAGATTAAGGCCTGTAGATCCGAGGAATGGAGAAGGACAAGTGGAAATTAATATAAACCAAGATGATTTATTGACCGAGGGGCTCGAATTAATAAATATTCCATTCCCTGTAGCTTTGTACGATGTGCCTTGAACTCTTCTAGATCCTAAAATTCGTAAATATCGTACCTTCGTGATCAAAAAGGCTAAGAAGACTTGAATGATCACCAACGTGCTGGTCATTACATAGGCGACGATTACTATTCTAAGGAGAACAGGACTGACGACTTCGGCGCAGCCGTTCGTGTTTATGGTTCGTACGTCCTCGTTGAGGATCTCCGTGTGCTCGCACGGCACCATTGCTCTCAAATTGCAGCAACTGAAGGGAACACCGCGGTCCCTGTACTCCTCGTCGGACATGGGACTTTGGGCCGACATTTCCTCGCGTGACGCATAATCCACACCCTGGCGAAATAAACGGTCTTTTGTTATGCTTTTACGACACGATCGTTTCACGTTTTCTCACACCATTATACCGTGGTTACCCTCCTTGATATCGTGGATTCACCTGCCAGTCAAAGTGGAACCAGTCTGCGTAGGAAGAATGGCCGCAGCATTGAAAGATAAACTGTATCTCGTCGATGGCGCACTTGTAAGACACCGCGCTCGCGTACAAGCGCATCGAGCTGTTGAATATGCCGATCAGCGTGTCCTGCCTCACGCTTATGTGATATCCTATCGAGGCCAACGTGGCAGCGTTCATTATTGCGCATATCGCTATTATTACCAGCAGGCATCTTAATACTCGTTTTGTTTCCGCGCAGCAGCGTGGCACCTTGCGTCTGAAAGTTCGAGGCAAACGATTAGATCAGGATCAGCTGTCCAACGCTCGTTTGAAATGAAAAATAAAATCGTACTTACGCGCGTATGCTACGTACAGTTATCAGAGCAGTCGGTAAACCCAAGCTGACGTTCACCAATGTGAATATTACGGGTCGTAGACCGCCAGCGAATCGTATGATTTGCCATTCGGCGAATATCTCCAGGATCAGTATGAAGAATCGCTTAGCCTCGAAGATGGCCAGGGTGACAGCGACGCCGTAACCGAATCTCACTTCCCATCCGCAGTTGCACGGTAGCCTTGCATTCTTTTTAAATACCACCTTGTTACTCCGGCTGCTCTCGCTGCTCGACATTCAACGATAATTGCCGCTTTCTAAGATTACGTACTGCGTTCTGCGTTCAGTCGATCGTCCGTTTACCTGAAAGCATCTTCTGAGCATTTCTAATTCGACCTTTCGTTGGCAACCGTAGTCGCTGAGCCGAAGCGAACATATTTTTCCGAGGCTGATGCGCAATTAGTTAATTCGCGACCGCAATTGAAGTACGCAAGGCGTTCATTTCACGCGCTATTTCGTGGAAAGCTCGTAAACAAAATAAACAGGTTTAACGAGCCGAACTACGACGTTTCGCGTTCCGATAAAAAAATGAAAACAACGTCGAGTTTTCTGCATTATTGCACGGAAACTGTTTCGGCTAACTTTGGATACTGTCAACGTACCCAATTACGAAATAAATGCAATTATACAGCGAACAAACATCTAGTACCGCCACTTGACTATTTTCGGATGACCCGACAATAAGATTCAATTAACAGCGATCATTTAATTAAACGTTCGCGTTTGCTTCGTGGCGAGATAGACTAGCGAACGAAGAACTGATGCCGAACGTGTCTCGTTCGAAGAATGTTGGCGAGAAGAGTTCAAGGACAGCTACTATATGATCTTCGTCGAAGCGTTTGTGGAGTTCTGTGTCCGACGGAACACTCACCAGACGTCATGGCGCGAGAGATAAGGCAGCCTCCTCTAAAATTACAAAATCGCCGTGAGGTTTTACGCACTTTTACGGATTTTTGTAAACACTAACGAAAACGGTGTACGGCCGATGGGACATTGTCTTCGTTCCGAAACTAATTTCACTCGTAGGTGAATCGCAGTCATCGTCGATCGATGCACGAGAACGCTGCCTAATTAACAATTTAATACCATGAACGTGGGTACAGAAAATATTTGTATTTCCACGAATCAGTCAATTTATAATTACAAAAAATATATATTACAATGCAGTCTTAAAAATTAGTTTTTTCTTTACATATTTGTAGATTCGTTGTCTCCGCAGGTACTTATTAGAAAATTAAATTACCCTGCAATGCTACACCCACGCATAATCTCGTCGATAATTATATTATTATCAGATAGATATTGAATAACACAAACAGCTTTCTACATACTTTACAATCTATTGACAAACAGAGCATAAACGCACTTGATGAGAATTGCGAATAAATCGACGAAATGAGTGGAGAATGCATTGCTCCACTATAGTGCTTTAGTGGTAATGAACAAATTAATAATCAAGGAATTGGTTTGTAGGAGCATTGTTTATCATTAGTGCAGATTGTGCATACACTATTTTCTATCAAGTTCCAGGTTCGGAACTTGCGAATAAAAAAAATTACAAAAATTATCCTTAGTATTTTAATTGAGTTTCTTCGTTCCAGTAAAATACTAATTCTGAGTAAAAAAAGTAAAAAAATAGTTCGGTCCAGTCGGGGAATTTCCTTATATTACATCATTCGAAAAGTGTTTTGATAGCAAAGTTTGAAATGACTGGACCGAAAGCGTACTGCAGTTACTTGAATCATCACGATTTACATCGTGGTCGTTCGACCTCACATGTTTGCGCAAACAATTTGCATACACTTTCAGTGAATGAAGTACCGTAACATATTTTCGATTGCGTAATGCAACGAAATACATAAGGTAATTGCACCAGTAGTTAACATAAAAATTAGCATTATTAGCGTCGTTGCTTCTAAAGTAATATCGTTCGAGGATAATTCCTGGTTGGTACTTGACTCTGTCAAGGAAAAGTATCAAAGCTTGTTTCTACTACCAGTGCTTTTACCTTAGCTCGACTTCACGTCACGCAATAATTATATATTTTTACGTAAGAGTTTTTTATACCGTAGTTCCAGAACGCCAAGAACGGGAAATACTCCGTTAGATAAACAGCCAATCGCATTTGTCCATTGAAGTAGGCCCTGAAGAACCACGACCACCAAGACGTGGTCGGTAGCAAGTATTTGTGGGTCATCAGTTGAACATTGAACATGAATCTGCTGTACGGCGACATCTTCGACGTATCTGGAAGCATTAATTTTGCTCAGAATCGTGTAAAAACTTCAATTTTGATATCTTTGCAGCGCGACGCTTACCTATTTTTAACGAATGATTGTTATTGGTGGCACTCGTCGATGCCAATGTGAAGGTGAACGCCATGAAGGCGTCCGGATCTATGTAAGGATTCATCGGCCAGAGAGCTTCTATCAACGTGTGAGACATTTTATCGAAGTCTTTGTTGGTATTGGCAAGCGATGGAAGGAAAACTTTGTCGAGAAGCCGTCTGCAAAGAGCTCGCGTCTCTTGGACGTTTCCGGTGCAGATGTTGTATCTGAATAAAATACAATTAATCCTTGCATCAAAACCAACGTTTTCAGAAAAGTATTAAAACGACCACTGATTGTTCTAAAGGAAAAAGTTGAAACTGGCAACTGCATCCGTAGATAATCGTTTTAAAAAACGTGTAGTATAACTAGGATTAAGGAAATGTGTTAACAGGACATATCGTAGAATGCAAGGAAGAAATGTATTGATTCGTGTCGCAACGTAGAACGAAATTAACTTTAAGGGAAACGAACTTGTCTTCCATTCCCAGCATGCTGCCGACCACGCGCCAGAAATGAATCAGCCCCTCGAGTTCGTCGAAAGTGTTATTCACCCCGAGATAGTCGCCGCCGAGAAGGGTGAATCCTATGAATCCGAACTGCGTCAACGCCATGTCCAGTTGCGATATTCTGTTAAGACCAGCTTCCGAGCTTCTCTGAAACGCTACGCAATGCTTTTTCCTAACGATTTTCAGGGACTCCATGAACCTGCAACAACAGAAAATCTTTGTTAAGACCGAAGACAAGATTGACGATAAATCTGTTTACAAAAGTTTTGTTTGTAACAAAAGATCAAGGCCTCTAAACGATGAATTAACACCAAAACGATTTAACAATATTCTTTGATTTATCATTACCAGACTTAAACAAAATATTTTATAAAATAATATTATTTTGGTAACCATGAATAATCTCTACGGAATTAGTATAGGTTTAGAACGGTAGAGTAATACTAGGAAATGAGTCGTTTAAAGTGCCGTAAATCCAGCGACAAGAAGTGATCGGCAGGTCTTCAAAATGCTGTTTCTATTAATAGTAAAAAGCAATGAGAATAGAATCTATTTAAAGGAGGCGCTATTCTCAACGTATATCACGTTTCCGAGTAAGAAATCGGCTTAAGTATAGGCCGTACGCTGGGATGTTTTACTATTTATGTCTGCGTAGAATTTATGACGTGTTTTACCAGATTACCAAGCAACGTACACGGAAGAAAACAAGGATGGTAGCTAACCAGTGTGTACAATAACAATGATTCGCGTGAAAAACTTGATGCTTACTCTTTCTGCACACCGGGTCTTTTCTCGTACCAAACCCAAGTGTGAAGAATGGTGGACACGTATCTGCGAAACGCGGCGCACGTAGTACCGCTTTGTCTCGTGAAGATTAAAACATCTCTGACCGAGGGTATGGCGAACAAACATAACAGCCCGCTCAGTTTCGCGATCATCATGGTGAAAATATTATTGCTAAACATCCGCTGACCGAGGTGAAACTTTTCCTCGTCGAAGAAAGACGGCAATTCCGGACGGAGCCACTTGAAATCCATAAAAGTGTTTCCTCCTTCCTTGAGGAGTGTCTGGAACCTTGCATCCACGATACCTAAAATAAAAAACGCAAGGCGTCATAAACTGTACAAGACGAGGACGACGCGCTGGGACCCTGAAATTAAATTTAAAAAAAGAATATTTAGGGGTCGTTTCAAAGTCAATTTGAAGCGGAACCCTTATGCTTGACATCAGCAGCCAACCCAAATTGATCCCTAGTCATTTAGTCAATATCATCAAGTTTTTAGAGTCAGCATTTATTTTAATTCAAAGTCCTAACTCGTTCAGTATCCGGCAGTATCGGAGACTGTACGCTGATGCTACCTAGCGGTTTTTATTCCTACTTCGTGAATTCCTAACGGGTGGTGAAATTGTCAACACCTGGCGAATATGCAAGCCACCTACTTAAATCGCTTTCTATTTAAAAAATTGTCATTTTCGAGGAAATAATAGCACGTCGAAGGTAAATCTTGATTAATTATGGACACGTGAAAATAATAAACTACTCTGGTTCTTGGATAAACGCGCGATATTTCCTCTTGCCGAAAGAAAATTATACGGAGAAACACGTGTCAGAATGTTTGCATTCGCTTTGCCCCAAACGACATTCGAATCGCTTAAATTGAACGGGAGCCGCGTTCGCTAACGGAAACAATGCACACTGGCGAAAAATACGGACGTGTTTGGAATCGTGGGACAAGGTACGTAGATACACGAGACCTCGACCTCGAGCTCGAGTGGTTCGATACAGACGATTTCGGATCCATGGGATTCGACATAGACTTCCGATTAAAACGAATAGTTTCTATTTAGCATATTCTACCGATGATTTACGATCGTTAATGTCTTCTTAACTCGCTTCGAACTATTTGCCCTGCTCGTAAATGTGTGTAAGAGATCACCATACGTTTTTTCTGTGTCCGGCGACTATTTGAGCAAGTATAAAACAGAACGTAACAGTTGACTGTTTTGCAAGAAGCTAATCGTACGACTCGTAAATGAAAACTGTTCCCGCTGTCGGCGCTATACCTCGAATATCGTAAAAGTTTGTAAAAATGCTTTGTTTGGATATTGGGTATTTCTATGGTTAAAGAAATTGCGTTTGTTTCGCGACAGACTGTGCATAAAAAGTTATGAATGATATCATTGGACGTCTCACGTAATGATCTACAACGGTCGTTACGAACCGGGGGAATTTGTAAAACAAGCCCGTACAAGCGACACGCACGGCGCGGCGTGTGGGTGATCTTACGATTTGATACGACGAAATTCGTTTGGTATTCAGAGCCATCGAAAGTGGATACATCTGTGCAATGGACGCGACGGGAATAAACATACGACTGGATGCTCATAACGAGACACGATACGTCCAACGGTGTTAGATGCACCGCAGACACGACGGAAATAGATTGAGGCTGATTTCATGGAACGATCATTCGCAATGTAGCTACGAAAGTGACGAAGACCTCCAAGGATTCGTCCTTCGTCGAGAGAAATAGTTTCAATTAATTGTCGTTGCAAAGTTTCTGGTCGAAATTCGACGAAAGGCAACGGCCATTAATTTTCTACACACGCGTGCTGGAAAGTTAGATCATCCAGATTATGTCACCGACGTTCTTGCGTAAAAAATTAAAGCTGCTTTCACCCAGCTACATACGTTCCTATCGCTCTGTTCGTTTCATCCGATAGAATGTTCGATCGACGATAACAACCTGCAACAGAATTATCAATGATTCAGAATCTGTGTGTTTGCGATACACCTGTAACTCCTACTAATTCTATATGTATAAGGTCTATAATAATATAATACAGCCGCACATGGTGGTGCAACCAAAGTTAGAACCACAAGGAAAGTAAGTCGAGGCCGTGTGTTTCCATTCGCACTTTCATCGGGCGTTGCACGTTTAGAACCTATCTGCGATTCGCTGAGAAACGCGAAACGAGACGTTAAGTGACGCACGATGATAACCAACTGTACCAACGATGTTAACGCTTCAGATCCATTGTTCTGTTTAATCCGATTCCACTGTTAAAATCTGCTATTTTCACTCGAAAACAGAGACAGAACAAATATGGATTTACATTGTATATTGAGAATTTTACTGTACCGAATATGTATAATACAATATGTGTATCGTAAGAGGAATTTCTAGGCGTCGCTAAACCTTTTTGTAAACTTGTTTAACAACCTTGGAAGGAGCACCGAAGCGTTACGAAATTTTCACTTTTTTATCTGCACGGACACACACACACCTATAGCACGGTGAATAGGTTCCTAGGAAATGTCGTGTTGTGTGAAACCGTGTTGCAGGAGGGTTACCTGTACTATAGAATATATGTATAAGGTGTTCCTCGCAACCTGGTCGAACCATAGTGTTAAAAAAAATAGTCAAATTATTGTTTAAAACAATTTCCATCGAATCGAAGAAATCTAGTGTAAAAATGTTGTAATCGTACGACTGGACACGCTAAGTGGAGAAACTTGTTTATAAAGTGGATATTCGAGTTCACCGTATTTCACTCGGTAATTTCTTGGAACAGTGTCAACGATTTCAAGGATATAAAAATTCTTCTGAATTTTAAGCGAAAGGTCGCTTGAAATATTAACACTTTTATATAAAAAAAAGTGAGAAAGGATTTTGAACAAAATTATTTTTCATATTATTTATCTAATGATTTAAAGTAGATTTTTAGTTATTTACATAAAATGACGAACGGTCGTTATTACACATCCGTGAGAATCGGTCAAATGAGAATTAAAATGTTACATAAAGAATATGATAAAACAGTCGCGAGATAGCGAATATATATTTAGCATGACTTCATAAATCGTACCAGTATGAAACCCGTGTAATAATACGAATTAAAATGCATGACTTTTAGAAGAATCTCGGTTTAATCCCAATAACAATTGCAATATGTAAAATATTCTACAGTGAACCCATTTATATAAAAACGTAAATACGTAAAATAAGATTGCATTGTTAAATTTTTACATACTATTTGTTAAAATAGTATTTTATTTGAAGGTTAGCCCTGTTCAGCACTGTCGAAAGCGTCTAATAATTTAGCAAACGCATATTTATTTCTACGTTTATCGTGGAACGCATAGGTCTGTTTGTCAAGCAACAAAGTAGCGAGGGTAATCTGGGTCCGTTGAGGGGAAAAAAGTGCTTACTGGAGCATTAAACTTTGTAAAATGGACACTGACCTGCCAGATCCGCGTCCTCCTCTTCGTGGCTTTTAAACCGTTCGGTTCTCCTCATTTTTCCACAGAAAATCCTCAGGTTAGTTTCTACTACGAACAAATAACTGCCATCGAGTGCACTGCACCATGAACTGCCGAGGCTTCACTGTGAAAGCTACGTTGCTGGAAGGAATCGCTAAGCCCGTCAGACATCGGCACGATCAATACAAAAACTACTAGATTATCGCTGCACGAACGGAATTTGCCATGAGTAAAATGTCTCTGATCACGTTATCCCCAACTGATGGTGGTGCACAGCACAAGGGAAGGAAAGAAACTGGTTTCTATCGCACATCTTCGGAGAAAGGTAACGTCTCCTACCTTTCGCTTTACTCCTTCCTCCTTCCGATTCTTAACGTTGGCGTCCTTAATCTGTTAGACCTTGACATCGATTTGCACCAGACATAGAAACACTCAGAATTAGATCTCGAGAGCATCGCGTTTCAACAAGTCGTAACGTTCGAGATTTTCTTCCCGCCATTTGCGTACGTTTCCGTGCCTTGGATTTTATTTCCCGCCATTTATCTACATTTCTATGCCTTTGATTATTTTTCCCGCCATTTGCGTACATTTCTGTGCCTTGGATTTTATTTCCCGCCATTTCTGTACGTTTCTATGCCTTGGCTTATTTTTCCCGCCATTTCTGTACGTTTATATGCCTTGGATTATTTTTCCCGCCATTTTTGTACATTTCTGTGCCTCGGATTTTATTTCCCGCCATTTCTGTACGTTTTTGTGGCTTGGATTTTATTTCCCGCCATTTATCTACATTTCTATGCCTTGGATTATTTTTCCCGCCATTTGCGTACATTTCTGTGCCTTGGATTTTATTTCCCGCCATTTCTGTACGTGTCTGTGCCTTGTATTTTCTTTCCCGCCATTTCTGTACGTTTCTATCCCTTGGATTTTATTTCCCGCCATTTCTGTATATTTCTATGCCTTGGATGTCTTTTCCCGCCATTTCTGTACGTTTCTGTGGCTTCGATTATTTTTCCCGCCATTTCTGTACGTTTCTGTGCCTTGGATTTTATTTCCCACCATTTCTGTACGTTTCTGTGCCTTGTATTTTCTTTCCCGCCATTTCTGTACGTTTCTATGCCTTGTATTGATTATCCCGCCATTTCTGTACATTTCTGTGCCTTGGATGTTCTTTCCCGCCATTTCTGTACGTTTCTGTGCCTTGTATTTTCTTTCCCGCCATTTCTGTACGTTTCTGTGCCTTGGATATTTTTTCCCGCCATTTGTGTACGTTCCGTGCCTTGGATTTTCAACTTTTCACTTGGATTATGCTAAATAATTTGTTCACTGTCTCTACAATACCGCACAGTTCGAGTTGCGTTTCACAAGAAGCTACTAAAGAGTCGTTTAAAAGGTTACACATATCGTGCAAACAAGTACTGCAACGCACTCTAGGTGCAAATGCCGTTGGCACATACACATAAAGTAGCTTTCGATCATTACAGTCCACGGGGAAAATGCTTGTCGCCGTGTGAACTCGATTTCTCTTCGTGCTCGTAGACGACTTTCCTGTACCAAGTTTTCTACGTAAACATCGAAATGCAATCTAATGTGGATTTTCCTTCATTAAAGACTTTAAAACAGAATTAACAACGATAGAAGGACGCCCAGTGATGGGCTTATCTTTCGAGACAAAATTAGCACGTTTGAATTTAGAAAAGCATCTTTCACAGGTTAGGAATCACACGATCAACTCACAGAAGCACCCACTTTTGATTCTAAATAACAATTAGCAGTAGATCGTTGTCTCGCGACACAGAAAGTTTTGATCTATCGTCTACTGTTTTAAACGAAACGGTACTGATACAGATGTCTATTCAGAAGCCATCAAACGTTTATACGCACCCACTGTGTATTTACCGATAGAGCGAAAAAGCCCCATCGATCGGCGGAAATATTAGCCAAAATTTAGCCCGTAAACACCATGATTGCCAACAGAGTGCAGCATCTCCATCGTTTTGTCGGTGCAAGGGGAAGCATGTGGTGCTTTTTGTCGCGTTTCGTACGAGCGGAAAGGGAAAGTTTTTTGCTTGTACTCTTGCTTTCCGCGTTAAGGTCGTACGGATATCCTCGTCGTCGTGATGTCGATGCTCTGAGTGAAAGTAGCTACTAAATTTGCAACACCCACCGGCTGTGTTGGTTTGCTGTACACGTGTTGCATGTGCTTTTAATCGAACGGGAGTATCTAAATGCATTTCCTAATGCGTAAAGTTGCAATATTGGTCAACATCATCGATACACGTACCTTATAAAACAATTATTCGATAAGCTTTTTATTAACACGTTGACTGCCACGATGGTTGCAACTACTCCATTGAACTATCGATTATTTCCATTTGTTATGCTATAATTTGAAAAAATGTATAGCAGTGAACGTGTTAAACGAGTTACTTACGCGAGTTACGAGAGTAGCTTAAATATAGACGGAAATTTTCTTTAATTTACTTTATTCCTAAAGATAGATACAAAAATTGAATGTCTAAAGCTTAGGCAACTTAAAAATATCAGATTTATAAAAATTGTTGAGCTGTCTCAAGTTATTTTTGCACGAAATTTATACCTGACTTGTTGTTAACACGTAAAAACGTATTGTTTTTAATTGTATGGAACAGTTCGAGACTTAATTTTGTGTAGTAATTATTTTCTATTCCTATTACATACTTGAGTGATTTCAAAATCAAACTTGTGATTAAATTGATCTCTTATGCTTTACGAGTGCAGTGTTGTGTATCTGGTTTAAACATATTCGTTTTTTGTTCGTACATTCTTCTCTTTGGTTTGTCCAATTTACGATTTACTTAACTTTGTATCGTTTATTTCGTACGTAACGTTGCTGTGTTCTTTAACTTTGTTTATGTTCATTGATAGGTTTTTTCGATTGAAAGTTCTTTGGATTTCACGTGAAAGAGATTGCAATTAAAAAATAGTAATTTAACTGATATTATTGTATACCGTGTGCGTAAAAATGTACGTGTTTCTCTCGTTTGAAATAAAAATTTTCATGAAAAATACAATTATTATTTGATTCAAAGAGAAAAAAGGAAAAATGTTTGTACTGGTGAAAGAAGACGCCAGTTCGCGTAAGGCGACTCTGCGTAGATGTACTTGCTTATCCTGTACAATTCTAGAAAAATAAAGAACATCAGGCAAGCTTTGGAAAAACCATGTATTATAGAATAATAATAGATTACATTGTTCGTGGTAATAATGATATAATAAACCAGAATATACCTGACAATAATAATAAGAATCTAAAATAACGCGAATACTGAATACATATTATTAACAATAATGAGAGAGGAGGGACTTTGGGGATGTGTTGGCAAAGGAAGGGGCCAAGCCGCTCAGAACTGCGTTTCAAATAAAAGAAAATCAAAGGGAAAAAACTATTCGATAAAATTAATAAGATCTCTGAATCGATAACCTAACATGTTCGACGTCTTTTGTCACTTGAGCATTTAAAAATAATTGACTAAATAGCCCGAGAGGCGAAACGATTTCTGTCGCGTACACAAATCCGCTCCTCCTCTTCAAAAATACATACTATATTGTACGGAAAAAAAGATATCGTCTTTCGAATCGATAGAACAACAATAGAGGGGAGGGGAGGGAGGAAGAAAAAAAAAAAAGTACGAAGAATGACAATCGGCTGCATGTATTAAGACTTACTGCTAAAGTAATTACTGTAAATTGCTAACAAGCAACTTACTATTGTTTTTTAAAAAAAGCAACGCGTTCAAGGCGCTGATTCATATAAAATGTAACACCTTTTGAAAACTAATAAAATAGAGAATTTTCTTCGTATCCTCCAATCAAGCACGAAGCCCGTAATGCTTCGCTACGTGCTGCCTTGTATGTATTAAAAAAAAAGAAACATGAGAAACTCCTATGTACGTGTATGTAATACGTATGTATATACGTGTGGCGTATCCGCCCGCAAAACGCGAAAACGTTTCATTGCCATAAAGTTGTTCGTAGGTATGCGATAAGTTTTACGAGACGAACGACCGTGTCTTTCTTTCCTTTTCTTTCCACGCAGCGCTGATGAGCAAAAGAGCAAAGGAGTTAAAAAAGAAAGGGTGGGGTGGGGCGGGGTCGAATACATTTTCTTTTTTCACCCGAGAGCCAGCTCGTTTTGGGAATTGTTCGTTACTTTCCAGGACATCTGGAAACGATTTGATCGCACTTTGGTCTTGCGGATTGGTCCTTTCCCACCGGCGCCAAGTATCGATAATAACTAATTTATTCACGAGCTGAGATCTTAATCTTACTAACGAAAGCACCTCGAATACACTAAACAAGAAGATAAGAGAGAGAGAGAGAGAGAAAAAAAAAAACAATTACGAGTAACGTCTTAAAAAGTCGGGAGAACAAAAACGGGTATTGAGGTTATACATAATTGGCTCAGTTGCATGGACAGATCACACTGACATTTGTATCGTTTGCTTTTTCTTTTTTTGTTGTTTTTATCGTTTTTCCATTATTTACCGACTGTAAACGATTCACGGGGGTATATTGTTTTTTAAAATATTAAAGCATGCAATTCACGTTGTGAGAACACACGGCACGACACTGGTCTAACAATGCTAAATAAAATCGATAGGACGATGTCGTTTTTTTTTTTTTCGTAGCAGCGATGCTTTGTGTTTCGTTTAGTATGCGAAACGGCACGTCGAATTTACAGAAGCCTCGTGGTTAATTCGATACTACTAACTCACCGCCGTGATATTCGTGCACGGCGCGGAACTAAGCCAAGTTTATTAATTGACCGATACAAATCTCTATTATCCTAAACCAATGACAAAATGGACAATTACTTTTTTTTCTTTTTCGTTTTTGTGAATCGTCGAAAGCCTCTTAGGCAAGCTGAAAAGCCGCGGTGTAACAGCACGCGTGATTCGATGAAAAAAAGCTGGTCAATCGATAAATTGTTCGTGTAACGTTTCTCCATTCATCGTTTTACATGATTTGTGAAGATTTGGCAGCAGCCCTGTGTTTTGTTTGCAACTAACAAACTATGGCATACGTTAGAATGCGGCGTTAGAATCGACAAGTTTACCGAGCGAACAAACTTGCCTTTGTTTTTTCGTTAGCCTTAAAACGCGTACTCCGTGTCCACTTTTATGCACGAGATCTTATACGAGCGTAAAAAATAAAGTAGAAAGAGGGGAGGTGGGGGGAAAATAGAAGAAAAAAAAAAGAAAAGAAATGTTCTCGTAAGGAAGCACCGGCGCATAAACGTGGACTCTCGAGCACGATTCTTAAAAGTTACACTGAAAATCTAATACGTACTATGAACCACGATATAATTCTCTATAATTTGCGCCACTCGGTATAATTCCAATAGGTAATTCCTTTAACTGTTTTGTAGGAAGTAAGTAGGTAAGTACGCGATGACCAGTCGTTGCTTCATCGTGAAACTGTCTCCTTGGGTTAACCTACGGGAACGACTGAATATTTTGCGTCAACTTACTCGTATGTTTCTCGGATTCAAGACATACCGATTGGTTTTTCTTTTTCTGTAAACAGCAGATTCGAAACTGTACCATTCCGGACGTATATCTACACAAATCGAAAACACTGTGTTGTAATTTATTTTCGTGAATCCAGCCTTTAGGAACGTTGATGGTGTCCCGAAGTCTTGTTTGAACGGCATATCATTAGTATGTAGTTAAATGTCAGTTAATTTCACTTTAAGATCGTCGATATGCATTACCGGAAGCAACAATCGTTTGACGGAGCTCGACAAGCATATATGCTTGTAGCTTGTAACCAAGTACAAAGATCATTATCACGGAATACCCGTTGTACTTATTTAGGGTTTGACAATTATTCTGTTGAAAAATCTAATGGTAAGATATCTCGTTACGAGTTTCTCTAAATCGTTCGTCCGTGAACATCCAGAGAAAATACATATTATTATCACTTCCATCAACGGTTAAATTAATGGGTTCTGTTACTTGAATAACTCTCACTATGATCCGTCTTGTCGAAATTATGCGAAGGAAGACGAATGGATTCGTCGGAAAACTAAACGGCGTTAACAAAAGCACGTCCTGATATTTTGGTACAATTATTCTCAGATGTATCGTGGATCGAGATGTATCGAGTCCCCCTCTTAGCGTCTGCATCATCTTGACTTTTTTTTTTATTGGTTAACGTTCTATCTATTTACACTGATGCCCCATTGGTTCGAGCTAGTAATTCTTACTAGCTATGAACTAGGCTATCACGAGAGCACGGAGCTAACTTCGGTAGCTTCTTTGCAGTCTTGAATAGATATTTGAGCTAATTCGTTCATCACCTCTTCGTGAGTAATCGAGTCCGATTTTTTCAATATCGTGTATCCCTGTTGAGGTTCTTCGTTCTCGCCGTTCGTTTTGGCATTAACCTTGGCCTGTCCGTTTGATTTTCGCTTGCCTGATGTTTCTTCGCCAGACATACCAGGATGAATTTTGAAAACACTTTTTATAATGCTGTTTACCGTTGTCTGAGAACGTTTCGGGCTATCGTTCTTTTGATCGGAAACAAATCTGATACGAATCGTTCTGTTATTTTCCGTACTCTCTTTATGCTTGTTCCCTTTCATTGCCATACCCTTCGATTTCGGATACTTTGGTTCGGATGTATTTTGACCGTTCGGAACGTCTGTATGTTTAATTTCTTGTACTTTGTCCGCCGAGAGCGATACATCTTCGGGAGAATTCGGCGAGTCTCGTCCAGCGATCGTTAACGCGGAGCCTAAAGCGTGAGTATCGTTTGGTATTTTGGACGATTCGAGTGCCACGCCCTCGGAATCGTTATTCTTTTTCACTTCTTCATCCAAATCTGTGACTTGCACGTTTTTCGTCTCTTCGACGGAACCTTTATCCGCGAGTACCTTACTATCTATAAACGCGTGATGATTCGCATCTTGTCGATTATTCGTTGGTAATTCTCGTTGTAAAACTTTAACCGGACTCTTCGGTTTTGTGCCGTTGTCGGAATGGTCTTTTTTTTGGCAATTTGTACAGGAAGATTGCTTGGAATGGGTCGGTGAATTTACTTGCCTCTTACTCGCGTTGTTCTTCTGAGCAAAACCCATATGCGGTCTACCTAGTCTTTGAAGATTAATTTGTGACGTGACGCGAAACGACATTGTCGGCTCGCAATAGAGTATCGGGTCTACGCGTTTTGAATGTTTTTGCTTTTGTTGCGGTTGCATCCTGTGTATTGTATTGTCCATTCGTTGTTGGTAAGCGATATGCGGTTGGAAAGGTGTTGCTAAATTTGTATTTATAGTCGGATTGAAGTTCACGTTTGCGGGTGGACCGTAATGAAGATTGAGGTTAGGATGCACGTACGAATCCACGGAGCTATATAGAGTGTCCATTCGTCGCGGTAACACATGGCACTCTCGAACCGTACACGCAGGGCAGTTTTGTTGATGCATACTCTGAACCATGTTTTCTCTACTGCGATCCATGTCGTTGTAACGATCTTGCGTAATTCGAGGACCAATTCCACGAAATACTTGCGGCACTATTTGCGCAGACTGATACATTTGATCGTTTTGGGGAATCACTTGGGTCTGAGATTGATGACCGTAACTTTCGTAAAGTATACCTCTGTTACTCATTACCCTACCATAAGCTAGACTGGTATAATATTGTGGAGGTTGCGACGTGTACTCTTGTTGCTGATGATCTTGATATTGAGGATACTGAGGAACAGGTGGTTTCGCGTCGATCCAAGTTTCTTGTTGAGGAAGGGATTGCTCTGAATCTCGTTTAGCTTGTACCGCATTCCAAACATCCTTTAGCTCACCGGTGATATCTCGATCCTTTAGTATTGTATATTGTCTTGTAAAAATCACTCCTGTGTTCTCAGTTTCCACAAAGTCTAATAAATGTTCTATTAAACAGGAACGCTTCTGTAACAAAATTCAAGCCATACGAATAGTTAGTTTTCGTAAGAAACATGTAAATATTACAATTCCGTATCTAAAATACCTTTGGATCTGTAGCATTTTTGCCATTAATCTGAAGATATTCTGGATTAGTCATTACTGCAAAAACAACAGCATCTGCTTTTGTACGTGGTGGTCGTACCCTCATCCCTCCATAAAGCGGTACAGGAATAGAGGGGTTTACTGGCATTGTAATCTTTTCCCAGGATAAAACATTTACATAACACGGGACTCCACAACCCTAAAATAAAAAAAAAATATTTCATTTTTAACTTTGACTTTGAAAAATATGCTCGTTTTTTTCTCTATAGTTTCTATAACCAGGATCTACCTGTATAAAGTCTTGTATGCACATATGAGGCTGAGGAGGATTTTTAAAGAGACGTGCACCATTGCGCTTCATTCTTGTTGCTCCACCTTCAGTCATTTCGTAACTGAAAATACATTTATTCTGATGTTTTGCATCGCACATTGACGATAAAGTTTCGTACTTGCAAATACAATAATATGTATATGCAGATACACGTTTTACGTACAGTTTGCATTTAAATTGACATACAGAAGTTACACAAAAACAACACTCGATAATAAAAATAGTACTTGGTTATTATTATTTAAAAATCGTTTATTTATTTGAATTTACTTCGTTATATGTTGCGAACGATAAAGCCTTACCTCGAAAATAAATATGAACAGCACGTTTGTAAGTTTCGGTAAAACGGGGAACGAATAATCAGTTACAGAATATCAGTAGTTGTGTAGTAACCATTACAATACGACTGTGAATAGGAGCGATAGAAGGGGAGGCTGAAAATTCGTAACAACAAATGTGGCGGAGTAAATGCGTCAAATCGCATGCTGGCACTTTTTAAACGTACGGGTACGCTTGCGAAATGGAAAGAAGGGAATTTTTTAATCGGGGGCCACCGCGTGTAAATTTCTTTTACAGAAGTTTAGTATAGAAACGGAACAATTTTTACGATCTCCCAGACGCATTAGAGCCCTCTCGCTTCTCGACCATTGTAGATTGTCAATATAACCTCAAAATTCTACGAGTTTACGTACTAAATACACCAACGAGTATAAACGAAGCGATTATTTTCGTAATGTAATACATTGTCGAGACGATATGTAATCCTCTATTACGTAAACTCACCCCGCGGTGCTGTTTCACGCGTAAAAACACTCAAACAAACAGAGACACGACACGATACATTATCGGGCAGCTTCGGTGGAAAAGATCCATCGCTCCTTTTGTTTATTATTTTTCCGGAGTCTGCGCGATTAAATTGACCACGGGCGCTGTATTACCTTACGCGTACAGATCACGAACTAAAATGTCTAAGATGGCTGAAAACGGAAATCATGCTTGATGGAGGTACGTATGCACTAATGTGAAGTGGGCTGAAAATTCCCTAGATAAAATTTCATCATTACGTGGAATATTATTTTTATCAATAAAACTAAAGGGAAATCGTATTTGATTGCAATATGCCAAATCCAATTAGTTATTAATGCAGCATAGATCGTTAAATAAAATTAAATCGAATAAATAGTGATCGATAAGTGTGACGAGGAATAATTGGCGGGATGTTGAGAATTGGCGGGATATGGCTGTGAATGTGCATCGTGGAATTTGCTTTTCGAAAAACACCATTCTAAGAAAACAGTGAAAATGATCATTGTCATTGATCGTTCGGAACAACGTAACAATCGTTAGTCTTATTGTTAATTAATTATATGATTAATAGTGCATCATTATTGTCTCTCCAGACGGTGATCATCGAAGGAGATATTTACATAATTTCAGTAATAAATAGCAATTTATTTATATTTAGTTGGAATCCCTCGATAATATTCTTTTTTTATTTATTACAGTAGAGAAATTAGGAAGTCAATATTGAAGGAATCATCATTAGTCATTGTGGTATGTGCACATTTACGAGTTTTTATTTTTTTTGTTTAATTTACACTTTACCGTGACATTTATAACATGTTATTATTTTCATGGGTTTTGTATCGACGTGATATCTACCAATTGTATCTGTATTTCGAACGTTTTTACCGTAGCACGATAATACGTATCAAACACTGCTTCGAAAAGTAAAAAGTACATATGTACATATGTATATCGTTACACATATTACATTTCCAGTTATATTTATTTTCATATTTTGTGTATTCGTATATCTGTTTGCTTTTGCTGGAAACTCGTGTATTTTCGTTTCGCAATTTAGCAGAGCAAAAATAAAAGTGTTATAAAACGTTTATCTCGTAATGTTAAATAACAACAATCATTCCAGAGTAATTATTCTTTTTGTGCAATAATCGTCCCGTTTAATTTCATCTTTATCGCAGTAAAAAGTTGAAGGTAAGTAACGTACAAATAAACAACGGTCCTCCCTAACCTATTCGACATTTATAGAAACGATTATCTCTCTACGAAAAAGAAGGTTCTTCTACAGTAGAATCTCGATTTCAATTTAATAAGAAAGATAGGAATCTATTAGTTATGGCCCTTACTTTATTTCTCGTAAATCGTCAATTTCTAACCAATGACCAGGTTTTCTTTCTCAAACAGAAGACGAAATACTGGTTCATTACATTATATTATTCGAACGTAATATATTTTCATAGAACAGAAATTCTTGTACACGTATTTTTGGTATGTTTTCAAATCTATTTATAACATTTAGATTAGTTTTCTGAAATAATATAGTGATATTCATCGGTAAATGAGAGTGTTCTATTATCCGTAATGGCATGTCACTCTATTATTTAGTTCGATCAATGGAAGTTCCATTGTTACATTGTCTCGACGCATAAAGAATTTCGTTAAGAAGCTGACGAGCCGAGGTTTCGTAAGCGACCATTAGATTTGCACGCACGCCTCCCTATCATTACATCGCATTAGTTGGAGCAATTAGTGGAATAATAATCAGAAGGCTGTTTCGAATAAGTTATCGTTAGTTTATTCGCCGAAGACGATCCTTTCGATCGTTAGTGGCGCCACTTGTGCACGGTGCACCACCGTGTACGTGGCGTATCGGAAGAACATCGATGGGGCCCCTCTTGAATCCACCGTATCATTATGACGCCTTGCAGGCAACTATCGATCCCGATCGATGATATTAATAGTCGCTAACTACAGTCTTCCACGCCGCTCGCGTTCTACAGCGTGTTTCATGTGCCTGGCCGGAACCGTTTTTTCGTCTTGGTGCATCAATGCCGTCGCTTCACAAGACCACGGAATCGCTGTTCGCGTTTCTCGCTGTTCGTTCACGATAATCGAGCCGTAAATAAATTTGCAGGTAATAAGAAAGAGGGAGGAAAAGTTTCCGAGCTTCCGTAATAAATTACAGGCTTCGCAGGTCGCGTACTGCTGGCAATTACGATCGTAGAAATTTAGACTCGTACGATCGCGACAAGTATTTCGATATTTACAGTTCACAGAGCATCTCTTTATCCTGTCATTAGTCTTTAATTAGTGGTCGAAGATCGTACGAAGCTAATCGTTCGAATATTTCCGATTCGAGTAAGTAATTAAGGTTAGGCTTAAAGGCAGTCGTTTAGCTGCACCTCGCGTTTACGCAATATCGTTTTATCGTACATATAATTAGGTTAGGTTCGAACGTTGACTATCTGTCTAGATTTTTCTCGGTACGGCAAATGGCATGAAACGAAGAATAGAACAAAAAGTGTGAATGTTTCTTCGATCTGTGTAATAAAGTCGTCGATAGTAATCATTAATATTAGTCTGTGGTCAGATGGCAGGACAAGATATATCATGTTTTCGTAATTTTTCAGCGCCAATGTGCATTAACGTTCACGGAGGTGCATTGGGAACAACGGGATCGTGTAACAAGGTGTTTTTCGTACGTGGATGGGGGTGGACAGGGCTGTGTGGACGTTTGGGATTTTGCGCGCCAAAAGTGATAGCTGTAACTTTGGAAAGTGCACATCTTCGCAACTAAGCTTCGGATCGTGAAACGGTAAGCGACTTTTCGATTAATATTTACAGGAGGAATTAGTTCTGATCAAAGCCCTCTTGTTTGGACAAGAGGATACAATTGTTTCTACGAATTAAGCAGCATAATATTTGGGTTGGGTGAAAGATGGAGGTTATCATGGGGGAATCATAATTATTTCGTATAAAAGTGTCTGCGGAGGTTGGCGGAATTTCGAAATTTTTGGTATTTTGTGGAAAAACGTGATCGTCGGTACGAGCGGAATGCAACGGAATCCTCTTTTCTGTTCCTCTTTGTTGCGCAGAAAATTGAAGTCGCGGTGCGCGAGAGAAGCGTTAACAGGCGGGAGACGTGCGAACGTAACGCGAAGTCGCGATAGGGGCAGCGATTCGACGAGACGATCGGTGCCCCGTAAGAAGTCTGTAATGCGAAATAATGGGTATCCACCCACTCGATGAAAATTACACGAGACGTGGTTCTCGATCCACCGTCTCCCCCCTACTTTCTCCATTGGCCCCATCCACCCGTGGGCCACGTACGCACGCTGGAAAATAAAACGAGAACCGATTCGCGGCGCGCGTACGGAACCGCTCGCCGACGTTCGGGGATAATTGTTTAGCAGGCGCGAACACTGTAATTAAAACCGAAGATGATGCAGATAGGATATATCGGGGGCGCGTCTGTCTATCGTGCAAGATGACGCTAACCGGTTACAGGTGGCGGTTCGCGCGTCTGCTCCTCGTTAGAGACGAACGCGTTTCAGATCGGTACCGATAACAACGTTTCGAATAAAGAATAACAACAAAATGTCAAGTATACGAACGATATGTTTATTGGATGAAAAATTCGTCCTCCGATAAATCCTATAGGATTCTCACGCAATAATATACGAATATTTAAGGGTCGTTCCAAGTACTCGAGCACTTATAAAATATTAAATTATTTTAAGAGTGCCAGCCATAGGTGAAACCCCTGGATCGGACCAGGTGCATCGAGCATCGTGCACGGCAGCCCCGCTGGCTCGTCTGGTCGTTTAAACGAGCCATTGGCTGGGACTCCTTATGAAAATTAATTGACATATCGATCGGCGTCGATGCGCGCGCGTTCGTGCAGTCATCGTCGTGGCTTCGTTCCGGTTGCCCGTGTACCCGAACAGAAAAAGAAGGTACGAAAGAGTTTAACAGAAAAATGGAACGTCGTGAATTAATACAATAATGAAATAGCCTCGAGGAACACTTTGCGGCGTCGATATATGTGTAACGCGACCTTTAATCGCCGTATGAAATCAACGGAACGAGCATCGATGCAACGCGACGTTATGTTTCCGTGACACGAGGTAGACCGATTGCCATAAAAGTCGAACCCAACCGTTGTAATTAATTCACACCTACGGACGGTACGCGGCGAATCTTTTTTTCATTCGTATCGATGTCGTGGTCGGAAATTGATATAAAACTTGCATTCGTTCGTTCGGTCGAATTAAATGTATTATTTTACGGAATCGAGCTCATTTTCCGATTCTTTACGATCGTTACGATTATTTTGTCGCGTCGAGCGTGGCGTCCGTTGAGCCTAGTGGGATTCGAGCTTGATAAAAAATGGTGATCTCGCGCGCGCGCGAACTCGCAGCGTCCCACACTCGATCTCGTTCGCATTGTTTATCGCGTTTCGTGCCGCCTCGCCACGGACGAATATGTCGGGCATGCTTGGCCACGATTAGGAAGGATGACACGGATAATATAATAACGAAAAAAAAAAGCCACCCGGGTATAAAAATAAATGGCCGTGGGGGGAGGTGAACGAAGAGAACCCGACGTGCCACACGCAGAGACCACGCGAGACGTGTTTATAGTAATGAGCCTTGTCGTTATTTGTCCAGCGAAAGGGATTTATCGAGATACCTCGTGAGATCTTGTTGCTCGATCTTCTTCTTCTTCTCCTTCGTCGTCGTCGTCTTCTTCTTCTTCCCCACCCCCACCTCCCTCGATGTCTCCTTATTTTCTCTTCGTCGCTTGCTTTCTTTCCACCCGTTCCCGTCTTTCTGTTCGTTTTAACCACGCTGTGAAATTTTACGCGACTCGAAAATTTCGAATTCTTTCATCGAATCGGAAACGGGGCGAATTCGGTTGGCCAAACGATTAAAGAGCCCGGTTCGCGTTTTCTGAATTGCCAGTTCCCCCCGAGAGCGACAAATCATCGGAATCGTCACGCATTAAGAGCGTATTACAGTGATTGGAAAGTGATAAC